CTAGTTATTGCTAGTAATTTTGCTAAAATGTTGCCAAGGGGCTACACTGAGTGAGTCTATTGATGGTATTTGAAAGAAAATAAAGAGCTCTCACTGAGTTTTGCAAAGTCTTGTCTGAGAGACTGATTTTTTATTTTCCTATGTGGCTGGAGGCTCAGCCACTTCAGTTTTGTTAGAGCCCTTTCTGAGTCATAGAAGGTTTAATACTTGCATATAATACGCTATTTATTTTTTGTAGTAAAACCAGTAGAAAATATGCTTTCTGGTTCTTGAACCAAAACAAGTTTTTCTTCTCTGTTTCTTACCTTTTACAAATTAAATTGACCTCAGTTTTAAAGCAGAACACTAAAAGACTAACTTCTTTAGTTCTTACAAGTATTTTTTAATCTGTCCTGAGCTTTCTGCTAATCATCTTGGAATATGGCTTCAGTCTGAACCTGCCTTTTCCTTTAATTACTCTAATGAAAATGTGAGATTATTCAAATGAAATTGTCTCTTCCCTCCCCCCCAACCCTTTCAGGAAGGGTTCAGTAGTTAAAGCTGAAGTGCAGTTAAAGTGTCTGTGTGGAGTGTTGCCAGGCTTTGCTTGCTAGTGTTTATCTGGTGGCATAAATAAATGTAATTTTTGAAAAGCTGTATTTATTTTTGTGAAAAAATCACATTAAACTTGTAGGATTTACTAAACTAATAGCCAATAAAATTGTTAACTGTGGGCTTATTAGATATTCTTTAACTTGCTCAGATATAGACTCCAATTGTATTTTAGTATCTTGGGGTATTTTTCTTCTGCATTTCACTTGGAGCCAAAGAAAGCCAGACTGACTTTCTCATGATGTCAGGAGCTGCACATTGTTCGGCATTAGCTTTAGACCAATTTGTGGCAAAATTCCATGTTCTAAAAAAATCCCAAAATTACTTGTAGTTTTGCTTATAGCCATAGATATGGCTAGGTAACATATGGTGGCTGAAGGAAAAGGAGGAATAATTACTTAGTAGCACACGACAAAGCAGTAAAAAGCAACAACAACAACAAAAACCCCATAAACTATAAAACTAAATGGCCATTTCAGACCACTTACCTTGAGTCATCTGAGACTCTAAAGTGATTTAGTCCTTACCAGTGCATTAAAAAAAAAGGACAGAAAGGATCAGGTTCTGACACAGAAAAGTAAATAATTAATATATTTCAAAAAAGATAAATTATTAATTAAAAAAAAATCAGTCATCAGTACTGTGTCAATAGCGGAATGAGTGGAAACTCATGCCTTCAAAGCATTTTTCTGACAAGAAATTGTCTTGCAAAATGAAACCATAAGGATTTAAAGTTTGCTCTCAACTTTTACAGAGGATTAAACCCCTTTTTAAATTTGCTGTGGTAATTTAGTGGGCACTGAAATAATAAGGCTCTTGAACCCCCATTTAGCAAGGTTCAAACTGCTGTCTTGCTGCCTTGAGCCCAGTGTATCACACCAGGAACATGATGTCGTCAATTTGAAGAAATTCATTTTGACACATTGGCAAATGATGTGAGGAGAAACCACTGCTGCTACCTGCTGAGGCTTGCACCTGGTGTTCATGATCAGGGAGAGAGGCTAATATTTTACATGGAGCCAAGAAAGTTGCCAGAAATGTAGTGTTTTCTCATTCACATAGGATATTTTTTGGGATCAGCCTTCTACTGTCAGTGAACCATGTCTTTATTTGGCTCATTTGATCTTAACATCTTGAATCCCTTCAGTAGAGGGAAGGAAAAAACCTGAAACACATGAATTAATATAGAGAAAAACAAAGAAGGAAATGAGGCAGGATGAAGACGGCTTGCCTTGTCAGATGCCTTTTGTAGAAGTAAATGCTGTAGGACTGCTGAGATATACATTAACTAAATAGCAGTGATCGCTGGTGCAGCAACCACTGAGCAAACAGTTCTGTAGATTCTGGACTTAATGTCTCTTCTCATATGCAAAAATGCATGGAAGTAATTCCCTAGGTACTTAAAACTGGAGGAACTTCATCATTAAAAAAGCTGAGGATCGGCTTAGTGGAGTTACTACTCTGCAAGAGGGCAATGAGGCCTTCCTTGTTTTTAATAAATGATGGTTGAAACTCATCAATCGTTAGCACATTTGAACAGCAGTGGATTTCCCCCTCCTTTTTCCCTTGCTGGAACATGGTCACTGTCCAGTTTGCTGGTGCATGTAGAGTCCAGGCCTCTGCCATAGAGAGGGTGCAGTAGTTCAGGAGAAGCAAAGCTACCCCTTGCCTGTCACATCATATATCCTGGGAGAAAATGTTTAAAACCTTGCCCCACTGAAGTCCTTGTTAAAGAAACCAGATGCTGGCAAGGTGATGTTGCTTGTGCTTCTGCCTGCATCTGTGGTACCACCTAGGAAATGGGTGAAGGGGAGTTTGCATCCAGGAGAGCAGGGCTTCTATCAGCCAAGGTAGCTTTAACCTCTCCTGGTTATGTATTGATAAGCACAAGTCATTCTGTGGACTGCTTCATAGCTTTGCTCCAGTAAAATTACAGCCATTTTGCCCAGTCACAGCTCTAGATGGGTTTGATGCCCACCTCCACACTCGTGTCCCAGCATTCCAAGCACAGGGTGAGTTTAGATCAGTAGATTGCTAAAGGCTCACTCTGTGCCTGCTGCACTGAGGCTAAAGAAGAAATGTTTTCTGCTAGCTTGGAGTGAGAAAATATTCATTTAAATAATAAAAAGCATAATTTTGTTTTGTTTTTTTTTTTAAATGCCTGAAACCACATTTTTTGTGTGGTGTTCACCACGTTATTTCTTCTTTGAAATTTCAATGGATCTCCTGTTTTGCCTTCTGCAAAGGAGCCAGAATTCACAGAGGTGGCAAAGGGTGAGCTGGAACCGTTGTCCATGCCTGCTTGAGAGAAGAGGTAGTCTCATCCTGGAAATTTTAGCTGTCTTTGGTACACTTTTCTTATTGACACCTGATTAAATTGATTCATTAGATGAACATAAAAAGATATTTCTGCATCAGTCAGAATAATTAGCCAGAGTGTGTCATGATCATTGCTGTTTTCACCAAACAGTGTAATCAGATCTTTGACGAGAATAAAGAAATTCAATATAACAGAAGTGATGTAGCTTCGAAGATTGGTTTTTCACTTTTTTTTTCCATACAAAGACATATAAAATATATACATCCTACAGCACTGTTTACCATTAATGCTGTGCTACAAAGTAGCCATGATAAATTTCTAGCTGAAACATGGTCTCTGTTGCTTGCTTCAAGATTCACAATGCTATAAATGAGAATGTTTGTTCACTCACACACCAGAAGGCGTTATTCACACAAGGCTGGACCGGACCTTACAAGGTTGTGAAGTGATATATGAATGCTTATAGCGTGGATGTGCACTGTTGCTGGGATGGGCAAGGCAAGCTGTAGGGGCTTGAATCTCTTGGAAGTACAGCATTGCTGAACTTTGCAGATATTTGCTGTCTCATCGAAATGGACTTGGAGAGAAGAATGTGTCTACCAGCATTTTTAAAGTCAGAAGAGCTTTGGTGTCAGGTTGAACTGAAAACAAGATTTGTGCAGCTGCGTTAGAATCTGTGCGAAGAGAATTACTCCCTTCCAAAAGGAGGGATTGACTATGATTGTAGTTGGCTTTAGCACCCCTGAACACACACTTTTGACAGCTGGATTGCACAACATAGCTGGGTGAGCTGGTATTTACAATGTTAAAGTTGCCCACCTTGGGAAAACAACTGGTGTGACTGGCATGAGGGTGCCCTGCTGGAAATCTCTGGGGAGATGTGGGCGCGGAGCAGGTGCAGAATCTCAATGAGGTGATTTCTTCCCTTGCTCAATTACTTTGCGTAGGAACAAGTGAATCAGTTGTGTAGACAGTTAAATTCTCATCAGTAGTCTTAAGAGTAAACAGATGTGAACTTTGCAGACCTGTGCAGAGCACAGCAGTGAGCCTGCTCACTGTGTATTGTGAGTGTGCAAGCAGAGATGGGTGGTACAAACCTGCATAGCTCCACTGGCAGGAAAAACAGCAAGCCAAAAGATAGACAGCAATCTGTGCACTCCTCTTTGTCTAGGAGCATCTGGAATAGTTCGTTTCATATTCGGTGAAGAATTGCTGCTCAAAGAGCATGAGCTTTCCCCCACCCAGCTGTGTGTTGAACTTAAAAGGAGTTGTAAATGCTAACATGATCTTTGTCCAAAATGTGTTCTTAACTCCATCCTCAATTACAGCAGGATGTGATGGAATATAGAAGAAAAAATCCACAATCAGTATTAGTTACAACAATTCTTATAATAAGAAAGAATTTCTTTTTACAGTGAGAACAGTCATTCACTGGAACAACTTCCCCAGGGATGTTGTGGAGCACCATGGCTAGAGGTTTTCAAGCTGTGACTGGACAGGATGCTTGATATTCTCATTTGGGCACCTTTTCCCATGAGAGGTTGGACCAGATGATCTTTTGAGGTCCTTTCAGCCTGGGTTGTTCTGTGATTCTGTGGTTAATGCTTTTGTATTTTTTTAGCACACTGCTCAGCTTAGGGTTTCTGCTCACTTTCAAGACTCGGGTCTCAGAAGAGCCTGAAGGCAGCCATGCCTTATCTCCATGTTGCAGATTTCTATTGACCAAAGTCAGAACAGGATTCAGTGGAGGACTCAGGATTTAACTGAGGCTGTGTATCAAAACCTCTCTTGATGAGAATAGATCCTGCCATTGGTTTGAGCCTGCCCAGGTGAGCTGCTTGAAGATCCTTGCAAATTATTGCAGTCTCCATCACCAGTGATTTGAACTGGCCTCACATATAATAAGTGTCGTGAGGTTAAGACTACATCTTCTGTAGACAAAACCCTGTTTACTGGTAAATCAGGGAGTAGAACAAGAATAAAGTGTCAATAAAAAAGGGCACATTCTCTGTACAACTGGTAAATATATTTTTGTTTAAAACTTTCATGTTCATTTTTAAGCTTACTGTGTTGTCTTTTATGTTCACAGGCATATTTTGAAAACAATAATTCTGGGCCAGATGCTCTCCTTGTTTATCTGTGGGACTGCTGTTACAAGCCAATACCTAGCAGAAAAATACCAAGTGAATACACCAATGTTTCAAAGTTTTATCAACTATTCTTTGCTGCTTCTAGTTTATACAACAATGCTGGCATTTAGGACTGGTATGTGAAATATGGGATGGGAGATTCTAGTTCATAATTTATTTTTCTCTTCTACATTTTCCTTTTAGATTTTGAAATTAAGGCGCCTACCTTAAAATTCCTGCTTTTTCCTGCTGAAATTCCTACCTTGTAATAACACATGGAAATGAATTTCACAGGTTAAATGTGCCTTTCATTTCATATCCATTTGAAATTATGTGCTCTTTGGTTTCAGGTCCTATGTTATGTGAGGAAAAACAGGTTTTGTTGTAACAAGCTTCTTTACCAGAGGCTATTTAGTATTCCTCTTATTTAGTTTACTCTTAGTCTTGTGATTTTTTCCCTCATGTGAAAGAATTTCTGTGCTTTTCACCATTTGCATTTTCTTCTCCCAGGCTGCATTTTGCTGTTACTGTATCTTTCTTAAGCAGGGGTGATCAAAATCGAGCATCTTAGTATTATTTATGCTTCTAAAAAGCAAGATTCCTCTGCAACATTTGGTTGAAAAGAAACTTAAATTGATTGCTGCTTTCTTCTAAACAGGCAGCGACAGTCTTTGGCAAATTTTGAAACAGCGGTGGTGGAAATACATTTTTTTGGGACTGGCTGATGTTGAGGCCAATTACATGATTGTAAAAGCCTACCAATACACAACCCTCACAAGTGTGCAGGTAAGGACCGATCTGTCTTTTTGAACTGTTGCTTTTATTACAGTTTTGGACCAGTTTCTGAAATGAGATTGATGGGACAGACATGGTAGCTATTTAAGCCTGAAAAAGCTTCTCAATATCTATTTTCTCTGTGCAGTACAGAGAAGAGCATCCTGCATCATGAATAGCAGTTCCAGGAAGCAGAGAAAATTGGCTGGTATTGCCCAGTGCCAGCTCTTGAGTTGAACTCTAATTATTTTGATAGAAAGCACTTCTAAGAGTTTGCTGACAGCCACTCAGGTTTTATTCCTGACACTAAAGTACAGATGTAGGAGCAGGTAACACTCACTCAGTACAGGTTCTTGCTGATGAGAGCAAGGCAGAACTCTTGCCTAGTCCTAGAAGATATGGGAGGCATCGTGAGATGTGACCCTCCATGTGAGGATGTACTGGGAGTTAGCCAGTGCTGCTGAACACGCAGTGAGGGACCAGCCCTGTGGTTTTTGGATGTGGCACTTCAGGCCCCTTTCTGGAAGAGATTGAGGGGAGCGAGGTCAGCGTGCCAGGCTCCTGAAGTGACAGCAGATGTTCCTCTGCAACGCCAGCTTGGTGCTGTGTCACTGCACTAGGATAAATCTTGCATTCTGAAATAGCTCTGCGAGCAGAAGGGCTAAGGCTGAAGTCACCCTACACAGAAGTAAGCTGCTGGAAGAGTTAGCGACTTCCTACTGCCTCCAACTGCGTGCTCCTGAGCTTCCATGTCCAAATCCCTTGAGCAAACTGGCTCAGGGCCCCTGAGCAAAGTCAGAGTAAACCCTGCCCTTTGCTGGACTGTTGGCGAGCCGTGTCAGGTCCAGATTAGCTCTGTGTGGCTCCATAGCTGCTGCTGGAACAAGGGAGGAGACGATGGAGAAGCAAGGAGGGAGCGTGCCCAGGGCGGTGCCAGCCTACGCCTGCTCTTACCAGTAGTGGCTCTGTGGCTGGGATCATGGCCACATATACGTGAACAGAAAAAACAATGTACCATACAGAACTGGCTGTTAGTTGGAAAGGGGTGTTTATCTGTCAGTGTTTGACAGTGTTAAAGTAACAAGGGTTAATATTTAAAAGAATTACCTGTAAAGCAATAAACTCTTGTGGTATGGGCTCCCTTTAGAGAACTGCAGTAATTTTTCTTTGCATTACTGAAGACCAGTAATGTGTGATTGTTGGATTATTATTGTCACATTTCTACTTTATACTTGTGTGTTACGACTCATTAGGCTTTTAATTTCCTTACAAATAATGCTTGAGAAATCAGAGCTTTGAGTGACAGTCTCAAATCAACTTAAGCTGATTATTGAGACACTGTTTGATCATACACTTTACAGCTGAAAAAGCTAGGACGTTGATCCAAGTTCTCAGAAGTAATAAAGCTATTCCCATTATTTGTTTCGTAGAAATTAAGAAAGTAGATAGAGTAGGTTGTCCTGTCCAGTTGCCAAGCTCAAGCATTTGCTGTACCTTTTTTCCATGTGGTAACCTTCAGACTGATGCTCCCTTATGTTGGTTCAGTTATTGTGAATTTGCTGTAACTGCCTGTTGCCATAATGTTTCTTGTGCATTCTCTGAAGTCACCGGTTTCTCACCACTGTCAGAAATGAGATACAGGACAAAAAAATAGCCTATTATTTACTCTAGTGCAAGGCATTTGCTATCTGTTGGTAGCAAGCAGGTCTGCAGCTACATCAGAACCTGTGATTCAGAGCACCCAGCCTGACGGCCTGTCTGCAGGACTGCCTGGGAGTGGGTGCCAGGGAGCATAAAAGCAATGCAGGCATATATGGCACCTTCCCAAATCCAGGGTAATCACTGTTAAAATGCTGGCTGGCTGGAGCTTCAGCTCAGCCCTGTGAAACTTATCTTCAAAGATCAGTTTTCTCAGCTCAGCAAGGAACTTCCATGTATTTCCTCACATGTGCTCACAAAAGCAGAACTGATTTTCCTTTAGTTATCAAACACCAGCACTGCACGGAAGGGGTTGGAAGATTTTGAAGGAGATAACATTGGGATGGCAATTGACATTTTTCTGTAAATACAGAAAATGGCTTTGGTCCACAACTGAACTCTTTCTGTTGGGCTGTGGCTGAGGCAATGCCAGGGAGAATTCTTACTGCTGGTGTCCTTTTGTAGCAAGACTTCACTGTGCTGCTGTTTGACCATGTATTTCATAGCAAAAACCAAGCAGCATAGCTGTGGTTTCATGTTGTTAACATGTTATTTGGCATAATTAGTATTTGCTTTGTAGATAATTTGAGTGGAGGAATATTATAGGCAGCTGTTGACAGAGTATCAGCTGATGGAAGAGTGCTAACCTCAACTGGAGAAAATGTAGGATGAGCCCCTAGGGCCCAGCTGGAGCCTGCCCTCAGGGAACCCTGTGGGGAAGCAAGCAGGATGAGCTGTTGAGCCTTCTTGCTCACAGAGCTGTCTGGAGCTGGAAATTATAAGCACTCAATGACCTCCAACAGTCTATGATAATTTATTAACCACATATTAAAACACCTTTTAATAATTTACTCGCCTTACCTTTAAAACCTCCTATGAACAGTGTGGCCAAAGCCTGGCTTGAGTCAAAACATTTGTAAATCAAATCACCAGGTTATCTGTTTTTTCCTTGTAAAAATACAGGCTAGAACTGAGTAACATGAGAGTTCACTGAGGCAATATGAATCGGTACTGTGGTACTGCTGTAAATGTCATAAAACTGCAATAAACAAACTTTATTCTTTTAAATTATTCCATTGACACAATTTATTGCAGTATTTCATTTGCTTTACACCTCTTTGATCTTGATCCTGTACAGAAGAGAGCATTTTCCACCAAAGAGCTCTCTAACATAGTAGATGAAGGGAAGGCAAGATCCAGTAGTTGGAAATCGGATTTCTTCTGTCTGTAATTGAAGGTAATTGTCCCCTGGAGCAGATTGCCAGAGCGTGTTCTTCATCATTTGGTGCCTGTGTGTCCTGGCTGCAGGTCCTCTAACCAGAATGCTGCTGTAGCTCTACAGGATGCTATTGGGCTGGATGCAGCAATTTCACATCTAGTGTTACTGAAAGAGCTTCTTGCTCATTATGTACTACTCCCTTACATCCTAACTGAGAAATTTTTTTTAAAGGATTTTTCTTCCACTATTCCTCGCTCTTTCTGATTGGGTTGAAAAACTGGAAGTTAGAAAGCTACGTGGTAATATCTCAATGGGGAAGTGAAGCTTACTTGTTAGCAGAAGAGATGTCCACTATCAGTAGGGTAAAAATTTTGATTTCTAATATTTGTAATATTTCTTGTTGTTCAATACTAGTCAAAAAAGTTAAATTTGGAGAAAACATTAGGTTTTTCTTGAGCCTAGACTAAATGTAAGATAGAGGAAAAGGCCTATGACTAAAACAGACTTTACAAACTGGACAAGCCTTCCAACTGGAGGCAATCCAAGGAGCAAAGGCAAATAAATTGAAGGATTAGAGGCACTGTTAGGATTTAATCTGTAATAACTCCCCTTAATGCTTGTAAGACTTTAATATGTGTAGTTATGAACAAGTAAAACCAGATGTATCATGAAAGTCTTGCGAGTTTGGTTAAAACCTGTGGGAGCAATGGCTGAACTAATGGAAGCCAGCATAGGAGACAACTGCGGTGGTGCATTTATCGAGGCAGAGATTGGCAATGACCATTAAGGACTAAGAGCTCTTGTCTGGACTGTAATAGTTATGCCCCATTTCTATTGACTTGGACCTAATACTCTGTAAAGACTTCAAGAGGCCAAGTTTTAAGGGCTGACATTTGAGAGTAATTTGTGAGCAGTCTTTGGAAGGCTCGCTGTATGTTCTGCGGTAGACTGTTCCCTTAAATAGTTTCATGGCACTCTACTGTGACAGATCAGAAAACACAACTTTTTTTCCTCTGGACAAATTCAGAAACGAAGTCTATTTTGTTGAATCAAATATTAAACTAATTATGATTAGTTCAATGTTCTTGGTATTATTTGGTTATTCTAGAACATTATGCCCATCTTATGATGCAGCCTATTTTTCTTTATTAAGTACACAGCTAACTCTTTTTATTTTTTTGTAATAAAGGAGAATGGATAGAAGATGGGTGGTTCTAACAACAAGGCAAAGATACACAGGGTTTTTAGGAACATAGAGGGGATAATAAAGAAAGGAAAGACACATCAGTCTCACTGCTTGTCATGGAGTGTATGTGTCTGTTAATTGGACGTGGATGAGTTAGAGCGGGTTACCTGCTTCTGGCTAATTGAGAGTCAGCTCTAACAGAGTAATGAAAATGCATTGGTGGCTTGTACGTGCTTTTGTGGGAAGCTGGAAGATTGGGAAGGTGACTTTAGGAAAGCTGTTCTTCCCTTACTATCTTCCTTATACTGGTTTTGCACATGGCTTCCAGCACATGTGCTTTTTGGGTGTTTTTTTTTTAGTAGGATCCAGTTGGGGTAAAAAAAAAAAGTCAAAACCAAAATTGCAGGGTCACATCCTTGTCTTAGTCACTTCAATGTAAAATCATTACTTGTATTCTTCATTAGTTCTGAATTTTTACTTTGTGTACATGGAGCCCTAAATTCTAGTTACCAGTTTGAGGAGGAGTCAAAAGATAAGCTAGAAAAGGAAATGTTGGTGAACTATCTCTTTGTGTTGATGTCACAGGCGGCAACGTGGTTTTAGAACAACATCCTAGCATTCATTTGCGAAGCTGCAAAGATTGATTAGCTCCATCATTAGAAGGGTTTCTAGATCAATGCCTTCCTACAAGGAATTAAATTAATTCACTGAGATTGCTTTGCAGCTTTCACAAACTTCTGATAGTGTTGGAAAGTAAGATCCTGTACATTTGCTTTTAGGATAGTGCAATCCAGATTTGGGGTGGGTTTCTAATTCCAACCATTTCTCTGTACACACAGCTGCTGGACTGTTTCGGGATTCCTGTGCTGATGGCTTTGTCGTGGTTCATTCTCCGTGCAAGATACAGGCTGATCCATTTTCTTGCTGTTGCCGTCTGTTTGCTGGGTGTAGGAACAATGGTGGGTGCAGACATTTTGGCAGGGAGGCAGGACAGCGAAGGTAAGGAGTCCTTTATCGCTTGGGGGAAGAGCAGAGAGGCAGTTCCTATGGTGGGCTAACTTGTAAAGGAGAAAGGGAAGCAAATGCAGGGGGAATGGATATAGTTTTATTTTAAAAGAGAATAGGAAAAGACATGCTGCTATTTGTATTTCTTGTCCAAGAAGATAGTGGCTGAGGAGATGCTGTTTTTATAGGGAGCTGTGGAATTTCTTTGCTCATAGGTTTGGATTATTTCTTCCACCTTAAAAGAGAAATGCTTGTGTTAAGCTTAATTTTGCTGCTGTTCTTCAGACCTGATGAAAGGCCTCATTCGTGAAAGCTTGTTCATTTTACTAATCACGTAAAATGGTCTAATAAAAGGTGTTGCCTCTCCCTGCAAACCTTGTCTTGCTTACACAGTATCAACCTGCTGGCAGCCAAACTTACTTGATTTGCACTTTTCTATGAGCACCAATTGCAAATAAAAGATACTTAACAGCAGCTGACTTCTCTGAGTTACCTTTGGCAGACCCAACAGAAATGGTTGACGTATGCCCAAGACCCACAGGTCACAGCCAAGGCTTGCTGCGGGAGAGCAAGAGGAGACGTGAGCAGGGTGCTGCGAGCTCTGGGAGGGAGGCTGGGTTCTGGACACCAGGGTCTGATGGTGCAGATGAGGACAGGTCTCATCTTCTCTATGACAGATGCCTAAATCAACCCATATCATAGCAATCTTATTTTGAGTAAGAATTTTGAATTTTCAGAGACAGTGGGTAAGAGTCAAGGTAAATTTCAAGAGGAGAGGAATGGGCATTGCCTCATCAGGCAGCATAGAGATAAGCCACTCTGGCATTATTCTGGGGCCTTACTGTAGGTAAGGTCAAGGCAAACTGAGGTTTAGATTTAATGCTATGTGGTACAAGTATCTCAGTCCCGAGGGAGAAAAATCTTCTTTCGCTGAGACTTCAGGACAGTTGTGCTTTATTCGCTGACCTGGGTATTCTTACTACTGCTTACCTTCGTATTTCAGACATATTTTGTTAGTGATTGCCAGCTGGCTCAGAGAAGGACATTTACAGTCAATTCAAAGACTTAAACAACAGCGATCCTCTTGCTGTTTAGCTGATGCATAATGGCATTTACTTACGGAGGGGTTGTATCACAGGGAGCCCCATTTGCACAGTGTAAATAAATCACAGCCGGGTATGTGATACCACCCATCTGCAGTGCCTGCTTAAGACCTGTCGTAAACCTGCAGCTGAGTCCAGGTCCCACTGAAATCAATTGACTGCATTTAGCAAGACTTGGATCAGGCCTTACTACAAAAGCAGGGGCAATGTTGAGAAAGGTGGAGAGCTTCTCTAACCAGGAATTTTCTCAAGTCCTTACAGTGCATAAGGTCAGCAGAAGTAGAATTGGGCCTAGAAATAGACAACAGAGCAGTGGCTTGGTCAAGATAAGATTTAAAAGCAAGGTTTAGCTCGTTCCAGACTGTGTCAGGTGAGGTGGGAAGGCAGCAGAGTCCATGCTTGGACACCAAGCCCCTCATCTGCCCACACAGGAGGTGTTTCCTTTCCCCTGACCCTGGAAGGTGCTAGGAAGGCAGAGATGTTAGAGATAAATTTGCTTGTCTTTTTAAGGAAAGTTAAAAAGTGTTTGCAGCATTACCCTTATTGTGGATTAATATTTCTGTACAGGTAGTGACGTGGTGATTGGAGATGTCTTAGTGCTTCTTGGTGCTTCTTTGTATGCCATTTCTAATGTGAGTGAGGAGTACATTGTGAAAAATCTGAGCAGAGTGGAGTTTCTAGGAATGGTGGGCTTGTTTGGGACTATTATCAGCGGTCTACAGCTGTAAGGATCTAATATTTATTTTAAAACTAATTAAGAATATTCTACAGATGATTGTTTGTCTACCATGAAATGATGATGTTGTTAAATTAATTCTTTGTTACATCTGCATTTGGCCTATATGGGAGTTTTTCTGCTTGAATTTTAGTTTTGTTACTGATCAACATCTGTTTTATTTCCTTTTTATTTGTACTACTCATATTGCAAGATTTCAGCTTTAGAATTGCTGTAATTGAACACATACGATACTTGGCTGTAGTTTTGTTTTGTTGATCTTCATGAGGACAGTCAGTATGCTGAGAACTGTTCACAGGAATGTATTTCTTAATGGATTTTCTCTGTGGAAAAGTTTAGGAGATAATTGTTAGCAGGAGGTCTTTCATATTAAACATCAGTTTAAAATCGAGCCGTGTATACTCTTACAAATAACCACATTAGAGTAACAGACCACATGCATTTAAGTCTATCTAATGAATTTTACGTTCCTAATTTCTCATCATTATAGTTAATAATTTCCTCAAATGGGTATCAAATAAAACAATCTCTGAAGGATGAAAAAGCCTGGGAAGAAGGCATAAGAATTAAATAAATGTGCTCCTGACTTTCAGGCACTTTAATTTTCAGGTCTTTTTTTTCATGCTTGTTAGATGTTGGAGTTAGTGTCATTCAATAAAACTTAAAGGGATAATAAATCATAATGTTTCTTATATATTTTGTTAATTAAATTTTCTATTTTAATATGGTCTAATTTTTTTCTTTTTTACTGTATTATGTCTGTTCTCTAGAGCCATTGTGGAACGTAGGGAGATAATGGCAATTCAATGGAACTGGAAAATTGGTATGTGTATGACAAAATGATGTGCATTTTTACAGAACACTGGAAAATTATAATCATTTAGGCTTTGAATGCTGGGGTTTTAGCTTTCTTTCTCTGGATATTAAGCAGCATTCGTATTATATTGTCACAAAGTTATTTTCTGCAAACATTGCAGCTCACCAGAGAGAGAAGATTTGCAGGACCGAACATTAAAATCTTTGAGCTCAGGTTTTGCATTTTACATATGGCATGAAATACTGGAAGAATGAATTTTGTGACCCATTTTGACTACAGCAGATTTGTATGTTAAGAAGTGTGGCTTTAAATTTCTTCAGTCACCTCGTACGTTAACTGGGAAAGAACAAGAACTTTCTTGATAAATACAGTAGATTTGGCAATGCAGGGTAGTCTTGGAAAAGAAGTGTTTCTGTCATGTTTTTCTTAAATTTACATTCCCATATCTGTTAGGAGACCTTATCCTAAAAGGTAAAAATATGTGGTTTAAAAGCATCTGAAGAATATCGTTCTTTAAAATCATTATTTTGTGCCTTAGGAGTAAATTGTCATCTTGTTTCACAGGATTGCTGTTCACAGTATTTGCCCTGTGCATGTTTGGGCTGTACAGCTTCATGCCAGTGGTGATAAAAGTTACCAGTGCAACCTCAGTCAACCTGGGTATTCTGACTGCAGATCTCTACAGTCTCTTCTTTGGGCTTTTCCTCTTTTTCTATAAGGTAAGTACCTTCATTCTTTCCCTTTTTTTATGTTTTTACTCCAAAATTATAAACAAAACATAATGTTCTTAAAAGTCCCTGCGCTTGTATGTTTCTACAGCTTGTATCATTCATCATTGGCAGGTGTTAGCCAGGAGGAGTCATGTTTAGTTAATGGCATAGCAATGCACCATTAGGTGGACAGTGGTTTTCAAGCAATTTCACACTTCATGAAACATGTTAGAATTAATGTTAAGAGATAGTAAATAATTTCCCGAGGTGTTTAAATGGTAGAGTTTTTGCTGTAATACCTGTGTGAAACTATCTTAGGTTTGGTTCATCTCACCAAGTGTCCAAAGAGAGGATTCGACTCTCCCTGTCCTGAGAGACTTTGGTGTTGGAGAGGAGCAGTTTGGCTTGATTTCCAGAAATTAATACTGTCTTTTAGAAATTTAATCTGTTCATTACAAACATCTTGGGAGACAAATTGAGCTCTCTCGGTGCTCCTACTAAGGAGTGACTGAAGGAATGGGAAAAAAAACCAAACAAACATATTATTCTGTATGCTCTCCAAAAGGCAATTACTTTTATTGCTCACTAAAATATTTTGATAGTCTCTATTCAAGCTAAATTATGGTGCTAAAAACATTTCATTCCACCCTACACTTTTCATCCAGAATAATTTGAGGGAACCTTGCTTGTTACAGCAATTGGAGTAATGCAGTCAGTCGCTCGGTGACTGGGAGGGCTTAGTGAGAAGCTTGTGAACTTTGCTTAAGAACTTAATTTGTATTATTCCGTGTGGTTGCTTTCTCTTCATCATTATGGAGAGCCAGAAGCTTTTAGGTCAGATTTATTTCTGAGAATGATGGCCAATTTATTTTACAGTGCAAAGGTCTGGTAATGGTAGGATCTGTCTACAGCTAGATTTTTCTTTTCAAGAGCCTCTTAAGTCAGCTTCCCTCCCTGTTTTGGCTTCCAGAATTTGCACCAAGCTACAAAGCATTCATTAAAAACAAACGTAGGAAGCAAACCGTACTTACATTCTGACAATTTAAAAAATCCTTTCTAAGTCACTTCCAAACATGTATTTTGGCACCCAGGTGCCTTAACTCAAGAAGCGATTATAAATTTATATTATTAATAATAAAGAGGATGAAGAAAGCAAGAGCTTTGAAAGGAATGTAATAAACTTCTAATCTTCAGGACTTTTAGCTTATTTTGAGGAGTGGTTTTTCTGGGAGCAGGCCATCCCATAATTACTAACTGTGGGGTATTCTGGCAGCAAAAAGGAAAAATGAATTAGAGGAGACTTTGGGGTAGTATTATGAGAGAATTTAACATATTTATTAAAATAGGAACTAACATCTGTGGTTAGAAACAATGAAATTACAAAAAGGGAAGCAATAATAATACTGCATCTTTAGTAATCAGGGGATATGAGATATCTTGGGAACCAAGAACTGAGAGAGCCTGACTTTGTAGAAGAATCTTACTGCAAAGTTAACCATGTAGTTTCTTTACCTATGAGGCAAAGAAACCAGGCAGGACATCTTGTGTATTAAAAAGTGTGTTAGACACAGAATTCTACAAACAAAAATGAACGGAATCATGCTCTATTCCCCCTTACCAAATGATATTTTTCAGCAAGCCACTGAAGGCCCAGCTGGGCTGTGGAGCAGAGTGAGCCACTGAGGCCTCTGCATTGCTGTGGTCTGTGGGCCCAGGAATTGATGAGGTTTTGACTTGTGCAGTGTTTTGGTGAAGCGCTCAACTTCTCAGCCCCAACCATGTGAAAATGTGAATTTTGCATACCTGCTTTGATGAGCTCTTTTTTTTACCTTTTACTTCATAATGAATCTTTGCTGTGTTTATTCTAATAAGCCCTTTATATAGATACCTGTAATCCTTCAAGAGATATTAAAAAAAGTCTCCAATTGCTTTTGTGGTATAAATGCTTATGGAAGGCAGTATACTGCAAATACAGACACTAGATGGAGTTACAGTCCTCTAGTAACATTTAGTCTTTTTTTAGGCTTGATAGTGAGAGTGGGGATATAAGCTGCACAAGTACAACTGAAGTCAGTGTTTGAAGTAATGAAGTTGCTGAAGTATTTGAAATTGGAAAAAAAAAAAAGAGGAAAAAAAAAAAAAGAAAAAACCCACTGAGCCCTTGCCAGAAATGAAAGGAAGTTAGGAAAATAAGTGTGTAGGCCTGTTGGAGCAGCATGGTTAAGGTTCACCTGTGTCAACAGCTGCAAACACACAGGTAGGCCTTGAATTGCAACTATGCTGCAACAGCTTTGGCACCCAGGCTTGGTGACTGAGACACCAGCTGCCCTGTACACACTGCGAAGGGGATCTGGCAGTCACTGTGGCTGCTTAGTCCCACCTGCCAGCCACCATGTCCTTGCATGTGCACACATGTTCACTCATGGCCTTAGCTTGCACTCCGGAGAAGTTGTGCAGGTGCCTTGAAACAGACCCAAGCTCTGCCCTTTTGATGAGAATGGGTCAGTCAGGGAGGAGTAGTACCGTGGGCGCTGCTGCTGCCTCCATCAGGACATCTTCAGAGCTTGGTGCTTCCTCCTGTGCATTGAGTGAACACTTGAGTCCAAGTTCCTCCAGGCCAACAGCCAAGAAGGTGAGGAGAGGGCATATATCGCAAGGCCTCTGTGTTTCAGCCTGCTTTGCCTTTTGAATGTTGCTGTCCAAGGGTTTCTGAGCCAAGTGACTGCCCGCTAGGAATTGCAGCGCCTTAATTGTAGATGCCTCAGTCTTTTCTAGATCAGAGTCCACTGTCCAGGTCCTACCATTCATTTCATCCAGCTCTGCTGCTTGATGAACTAGAACATATTTTTCAAGCACACCTAAGGAAGCTAAGAAGGTTAAGGAATATTGACAGTGGGATGTAGGATGCGCTGTGTCCTTCATCCTACTGTTTAATCAGTGTGTTTGGCAAAGGCACTACAGAGGATTTTAACAAATCTGCTGAAAAAGTGTTCCTGGCTGTGGATAACTTGAACACTTTGTATTATTGAATCTGGTGTTATGAAGTAAGCGTTTATTTTTCTGTCAAGGTGGATGAATCTCTGCAATCGTTTGACTTCTAACAGGCAAGTGAATGATAGTAAATCAAATGCCTGATGTACCTCAGCAGTTCATACTCTTGCCCTCACACCACTCTAATGGAGCACAAATGCCAATCTTGTAAAAGGAGCCCCGGTCTCCTTCTCTTTGAGGACCTGCTGGGTGTAGAGAACAAACCAGTTTTGGTCCAGTAATAACGTTATCTAGGTGGTTAAGAGAGTTGTGCAGAGAACCAGCTGCTCTGGTGATGCAGTAGGATTGAGAGATTCATCTCTTGCCAGGAGCTGAAATATTTGGCTGTGCTGAAACAAAATTGTCAAAGGGGTACAGCGATTCAGCATCCACGTGTGTAAACAACTATCCTTCAGTATCGCCCTTTCTACAGCCACTTGTGCTCTTGTTAAGATTCTTGTATGTAGACCTGAGGGAACTCCAACAGTGTTAACCAACTGGCAGCTTGCATCTGTCAGTGAATGGAGATGTTGAACTTTGTCTTTCAAACCTGAATACAGATCATGGTGATAATCCTCACTGAAATAATTTTTAAAAGGAAGGGTAGCTTTCACATTCTTAAAACAAGGCAGCATTGACATGTTTTTACATCAGACAAGGCTTAATGCATCTCTTTCTTTCCTCTGCCAGTTTTCAGGTCTTTATATCCTGTCCTTTGTTATTATCATGGTGGGCTTCATCCTGTACTGCTCCACTCCAACTCGAACGGCAGAACCCACCGCCTTGCCACAGCCCACCAGCAGTGGCTTGGACAACGCTGCACTAAAGCTCGAGGAGAACGACAGCGAAACTCTGGCCATAACTGTACAGTTCACAAGAGGAGAAACGGTGGTGGTCAGCACTGATTAAGGAAATGGCAGCATTTCAAAATAGAGCTTTTATTTTTACTGCCAAATTTCCCTCAAATATTAATCTGGAGAATTGTTCTACTGCCAAGGTATATGTCATGCTGCTCTGGTTTTAATGCACTGGATAGACTTTTAAGGCCAGATCTTCAATCAGTGAAACAGTATTGATTTATCCTTGCAGAAAATCTGGCCCTTAGAAGAAGACTAGAGTAGTATTTATGTTGAGTCTCTAGAAAGTGAGACACTGTTATTTTTAAATGCCTAATTAACTTAACAGCAAATGCTTGGGGGAAAAAACTAAGCCAAAGCAAGCTCCCAGGTCACTAACTGGAGCAAATTTGTTTTATATTGCTTTAGTGACTTGAATCTACAAGATGCTATCTGGAGGCTTCATGGTTCCCACACATGAGTGCTCAAATAGCATCTTGCAAAAGCCACTCAGCTTCTCACGGGATCTACTTCTGCAAGCTGTGTTACATCCATTTGCCTTCCATGTGCTGATGGACCTTGTTCCTCCACTGGAGGATTTGCTTCTTACATTCCACCCAAATGCTCATCTCTTCATGTTGCTGTACTCCCTCTTGCAGCTGGGGCTGCTGTGAGTATTTTATTTTGAATTTTGCTAGCAAGGAAAGTTTAAGTATGTTTTCCTAATTCCTTATTTTTCTGCCAGTGCCCTGTTGTTTGGTTCATTCCCACTAGGTGGAGGAGACAAAGTCAGGGCTTTCTATTCAGCAAGAACTGAACAGAGTTTTTTTTCTGGTTGAGACAGCAAAAGGGTTTAAACTGAAGTTCACTTCTCAGTGAATTTCTCCCTGAAATGGGACACATTTCTGCAGAAAGATTTTAATAAAATTGGCATTTCTTTAAAACAGCATCGTAGCCAATCCTCATTGCAACAATAATGACATACTCTCCAAAAGGTTAAGTGCTTTCATTAGATTCATTGGCAGTTTTCCTTTCCTTCTTAATATTTACAGTAAATGATTAAAAAATACGAGGCTGCAGTTTTAACATCAGTAAAACCATACTGAGATTTTATTTTTTTAATTTTTGTACAAACTGTCATAGCTCAGGTGTGTGAAGTAACAAAAGAATAAAGTTTTCAGCAGCTGAAGAATTGGCTCTTGGTTTAATTATTTTTTTTTAAGCTAGAATTTCTTTATTGCTCAAAATTGTATTAATAGATTTTACTGACCAAATGATGCTTTTAATGGCTGAGAAGTAAGAAGTAAATATTATATTTTCTGAAATTACTGACAATCAAATGGCACAGAATGGTTTTGTGTACTTCTGGTGTAGTTTATTCAAGCAAAATAATTCAGTAAAAATCTTACCTGATTTTATTTAGTGTTAGCAAAATAAATGATCAGCAGATTCTACAGCAACAAACTTTGTGTTTTCACCCAGTAGTTCATGCACAGAAAGGCGAAGAGGTGCTCATGTTTTGTGAAAAGCATTTAGGCCCTGTTATCTTTTGCTTTACCATTGCAGTTATATTCAGGTCATGGATTAAGACACCGGAACTGGTGCATCTATAGACATCTGTACATCTAAAGCTAAACAGGCAGCTGGAGACCAGCGGGGTAAGGAAGTCTGATGGCTAGGTAGATACCTAAGAGATGCTGTCTGGATGAAGTTGTTGTTCTCCATACCAAATTTTAGTTGCCTGCAACCTGGAGCTGAGTCCCACCCGCCGTTACCTGTGTGATCAGTTAACTGCATGCAGTAACGAAGCAAACAGCAAGCAAACCTACAGGTCTATAGGTGAGTGTTCCAGAACTCTGCTCCTGTTAGCGCATGATGGGATCCATTCCTAAATGTAGCTATTTACACGTTTTATTTTAAAAGGTTGCTGGGGTCCTGTCTAAAGTGCCTCTTGGTGGGCCATGATTCAGTTGCCCCGCTGTCAGCTGAGGAGTCCGTGGCATCTCTAGGGGCTGGCAGATAGGACCCAGGATGTAGAGGACACCCGTGACCATGAGCAGATTGTGGAGGCCACATGAGATGCCCTATGATCTCTGAAATGGCACAGCAGTTTATGATTGATAAACTGAACACTTCCCTGATGACCGTGTGGAGCCATATATGATTACTTTAAATGCTTACATTTTACACAGCTGAAATTATATGAGATGATCCCAAATGAAGCTTATGGCCCAAACTGCAGCATGTTCTTCCTGTGGTCACTGGGTGGCATTTCAGCATCTCTGGCATTTGCTGAAACGGCTGTGTGTAGACAGTGGTTGAGGGAGAGCTTTGGTGTGCCTGCACATCCCATATGCAGTGTAGCATGAAAATCAGTCTAATTTTTTGAACCTCAGGAAAAATAGCAGGGCCCCTTGCACAAGTAGTGACTGTGAATTGCTGGGCATAGAAGAGAAAGCTCAAGGCAGCAGCTGGAGTTATAAGAGAAGCACGATGGAAAGTGTGGTCAGTCAAAGGCTGGCATCAGTAGGTGAAAGCATTACCTTGGTAAATGGAAAAAATAAAGGTAAGTTATCTCATAAGTTCACAGCATCCCTTCTGATAGTTCCCAGCAAAAGAAAAGCAGCAGGAGGTTTTTTCCTTTGTGCCAAAGCAAGAAATAAAAGAGGACAGCTTGGCCCACCAGCTTGCTAATGCTGTAGCAGCTTTACCAAAGGATGGTGCTTGGCTGGTGTCCTCTAGTGCTGGCATGAGCAGGAGTGGACATGGCAGCTTCCCCAGGGACAGCCCTGGAGGTTTTCCATTAGCATTGAATAACAAACTCTTGCAGCATGTTTGGGGTGGACCAAGGAGTCAGGCATTTGCAGCAGTGCAGACCTGGAGCGACCTGTGCCTGGATGAGGGAAGAAGTGACTGCCCAAAAGGCATTTGGAAGTGACAGAACAAATGCCAAAGGCAGGAACCCAAGTCAACAGAAGGAAACAGCTAAAAAGAGAGGCCATCCCATGGCTTCTGCCACTTTTACAGGCAAGGGACGGGCTACAAGTTGAGGCTGTTTTGAAGGTAAACTGCTGATGGGAGTAGGGAGCTTTAGAGAAATTCTGTTAATAAATGAAGAAGGCACTGAGACCTGTTGTCCTGAAAACGTTTCCTGCCAGGGTCCATAGAGCTGCCACACTTCCCTGTCAGGTCCCGCTGTGGGGCCATGCATCTGCTACCTGCACCTGCTCTCTCATGGACCTGAGCATCACTCCTCAGCATCTGGAGTGGAGTCTGTCCCTACCCCGCTCACAGGAAGGACATTAGGAGTGTTTTTGCAGCTCTCTTCAGAGAGATTACCTAACCCAAGAACAATTTTAGTGAGATTTCCATATTGGAAGTACAATTCATGTTTCTCTGGGGTGTTTTCAACCAGATTTGCTGGTCTTTTTCCATTGCTGAGTTGTGGTGGTGTTGCTTCACTCATTTCAAATGAGCAGTGAATTAAATGGTAGAGCATATATTGGAGAACATCCGGAGAATTTACAAGCTTTCTTGTGCCAAAAACTAGAAGTGCATCTGATTCAAATGTTAATATACAATATTGCTTTGATTGGACAAAATCTTGCTAAATTAGATAACCACTAGCTGTTGCCTCTTTGTCGGGGGCAGAAAATGCTATGGCCGTCCAGACTTGAGGAATCGCAGTTATAAGATGCAGATTCTTTAAGAAAGAGCCATCACTTCAGAGCGTGACACATGTATTGCTCCCGGGGAAACAAGTGTTCAGTTAATGAATCGCATATGCCAGATCATCTGGTACCTCTGAAAGAAGGTGCATGGACGAGTCCTTAACATAGATCTTTTTAACATTGAAATAAGCTGGAGAAAAAAATCCAGCTGCCAGTTGTATCAAACCCAAGTATCCAAATAAAAACATGTGACATCCAGCCTCCCTCCAAGGTTTGGTTACAAGACATCAAAAATTATCTGGCATCAGAATGTCATGGTGTGTTGGAAAAAAAACAAAAATTAGTGCAGCAGTAATTGAGTGGTGACATTATCTCTGCTAGAGTTTGAGGGAGAGGATAAACTTTTGGACATCAGCTATTTTAAGATTTTTGACCTTTCCAAAGTCGCACACAGTCAGTTCTATATGAAGGGATGTCTAGGGCAGGCATATCAGTCCTTGTCAGCACCATTCACTCACATTTTATGTATTGTGGGATATTTAATTGCATTATACATACCTGTCTTGTAAATATCTATTTGAATCAATTTAGGAAGTTTGATAGAGAGAAGCTGCACAAGCTACATGATCAATCATTATCAACTTTGAGCAAGTAGACAGACATTACTAAAAATGCAAAGTGAAGGATCCTAGGACTGTCTTAGTCTTTCACCAAAATATGGCCTATTGGCAATTTAAGTGTTAAACCTGATGAGAATCTGACAAGGTGTGATGCCATAGCACTTATTTTTAACTTGGGGCTACATCTAAACCTACGCCAATCAGACAAACAGCATCCAAGGTGTTGGAGTCTCCCCCTCCTGAGCTCTCTTTGCAGTCTTTGGAGGGAGCACTTGATCTCTCTATTGGAGGTGCCAATATTGCGTTATTGCGATTTCTTGTTTTGGGTGCCTAGATTTAGGTGGAACCAAGCCAGGCCTTGGAATCCCAACCAAGCTCAATACCCCATTCATATGGGCATTAGTGTCTGCAGGAAGGGGCTATCCAAGCTGGCAGCTTTACAATTTATGTGAGAGATGAAAGAGGCACGGAGATTTGCTCAGCAGCTATGGGAAGCCCACGGCAGATTCAACAAAATCAGTGCAGTGTTATCTGAAGTGTGCATCCTTCACTCTCTCAAGATACAATTTAATTTTTCTCTTATATAAGAGCATTCAAGGCTGCAAGTTATAGATTTTGTAGAAAAGAGCCAGAAGGAAAAATCTGACTTCTTGTACAACACAGGTTAACACATTGCATCTGACTGCTCAGAATCCAATGTGTAGGTTTTAGTTAAGTTGCAGCTTCTCTTTAAAATGTTATTAACTTCCCAAAGCAATATCAAATTGATCTCTTCTGGAAGTAAGATAATTGAATTTTTTTGTGAGCTGTCTCTTGGATATATAAAGAGAGAAGAGAGAAAGTTACAGTTCTCAGAGGTCCCCGAGAGCAGGTTCCC